AACAATTAGTCGGGTACGGTGGTGGGCGCCTGTAGTCCCAGCTACTTGGGAGGCTGAGGCAGGAGAATGGTGTGAACCCGGAAGGCGGAGCTTGCAGTGAGCCGAGATCATACCACTGCACTCCAGCCTGGGCGACAGAGCGAGACTCCGTCTCAAAAAAAAAAAAAAAACGCTTTATTTACCAACATAGGAGGTGGGCTGGATGTGCCTGTGGGCCATTGCTTGCTAATCCTGTCCTAGGTGAAGGGTGCATTAGAGCTCCTGGTGTAGTTTGGACGTCTGTCCCCTCCAGATCTTATGTGGAAATGTGATCCCCAGTGCTGGAAGGAGGCCTGGCGGGAGGTACTGGGGTCATGGGGGCAGATCCCTCGGGAATGGCTTGGTGCCCTCCTCACAGTAATGAGTGAGTTCTCACTTCGTAGGTTCACAGGAGAGCTAGTTGTTTAAAGCAGTGGTCCACAACCTTCCTGGCACCTGGGACCAGTTTTTCCATGGACAGGGAGTGGTGTGGATGGTTTCAGGATGAAACAGTCCCACCTCAGATCATCAGGCATTTGATTCTCATGAGGAGCACGCAACCTAGATCCCTCGCACGCAGTTCACAGTGGGGTTCGCAGTCCAGTGAGAATCTCATGCCACCGCTGATCTCACAGGAGGCGGAGCTCAGACGGTAACGCTCGTTCTCCTGCCGCCCACCTCCTGCTGTGTGGTCCGTTTCTAACAGGCCATGGACCCTTCTTGAGGTTGGGGACTCCTGGATTAAAGAGCCTGGCGCCTTCTCCTGTCTCTCTTGATCCCTCCCTGCAGCCTCACCAGAAGCCAAGCAGATAGCTACACAGCCCGCAGAACCGCGAGCCAAGTCAACCCCTTTAGAAAAACTTACCCAGCCTTGGGTATTCTTTCATAGTAACACAAAATGAACTAACACAACTCCCAATCCTGGCACAGTTTCTCTGTGTCTTAGCATTCTTCAGAATTAGCTATTGGCAGGGAAGAGATGGCGTCAGAAGTCAGGAACTCGGACACAAGAAAGAAACCAGGGGGCGGGGCAGGGAGCTGCTCAGGGCAGGCATCCTCTGCTGTCTGTCAGGATGTGCCAGGGAGGGTGGTGAGTGTGGACACAGCTGTCTAGGACGGCCCGGGAGACTGGCACGCATGCCCTGGTGGTGTCTGCATTAGGTTTGATTTTACTTACGATAATATGATCATTGCTTTTCCCTGTTACTGACAGTGGGAGGCATTACCTTTTTTTTTTTTTTTTTTTTTGAGACAGTCTCATTCTGTCGTCAGGCTGGAGTGCAGTGGCGTGATCTCAGCTCACTGCCGCCTCCACCTCCCGCGGTCAAGCGATTCCCCTGCTTCAGCGTCCTGAGTAGCTGGAACTACAGGCATGCGCCACCACGCCCGGCGAATTTTTGTATTTTTAGTTGGGACGGGGTTTCACCACGTTGGCCAGAAAGGAAGCGTTACTTTTAATGCCTGCACAATGACCAGTTGAATCGAAAAGGCACAGGTGACTTATGCACTTCCCAACATGGGTATGTGGGCTGTTTCCAAACTAGGTTATTATGAATAATGCCACAATAAATATCTTTTCCATATTTAGGGCCAATAAGACGGACCCCCAGATGTGGAATGACGTCTCAACAAATGCCGGCCCCGGGTCATGCCCACAGAGACACCTGCAGCAGCGCACAGATGGCAGGACCACCTCGGCCTCTGTAGGAGCGGGCAGGTGGGTTCCTGATCCTAAACTCACACTTTAATCCAACATCTTTGATTTCTAGCATGGAGGTAGGTGGTCAAGAGCATAGCTCTCAAGTCAGGGGCTGTGGACTTGACCTCTCACTCTGGAACTCTGGGACCTCTGCCTCAGTTTTCCCAGGTGTGAAATGGCAATGCTGACAGTGCTTACCCCACAGGGTTGCCAAGAACCAGAGCCTTAATACGTGACGTCGTAAGCACAGTGCTGGATCCTACTGTGTGGCCGTGTCAGCTCGCCCCGCGTGCTGGTGTTAGTGGGATCA